CCCTCGTGGGACGGGGGTGGCTGCCCGTGCCCCGCGCCGCAGCGGGGCAGCTCCCGCAGGCAGGCGTGAGAGAAGAGGAGGAGGACGCCATGGCTGCCCGCAGGTGCCATGGCCGTGCTGGGGAGCGAGGTGCCGAGGAGATGGCTCCAGCCAGCGCTGCCGCGATGCTCTGGGTGTGGGGTCTCCCGCTGCCCGGGCTTCGTCTGCTGCGGGTTTCCGTGGGCCGCGCTCCCGTGGCTGCAGCTGTGTGGGGAGAGCCGGGAGCAGGACAGAGCAGGGCACGGGCGGGCGGGGGGGGGCGGCGAAGCGGACCGCAGGGAGGGCTTGGGTGCCGTTTGCAGGGTGCCCTGCACTGTCTGCGTCCTCCTGGGAAGCGCTGACCTGTGTCTCGGCAGGCGGGTGAGAGGGTGTTTTTCCTGTAAACCTTCTTCTGTAGCCTAATTGCTCCTGTCGTCTAATTAGCTGAGCCAGAAAACTGTTGTTGTTTTCGGTGGGATATCACGACTGAAAAAGCTGAGAAGGGCATTGCTTCAGTGGTGGGGAAGAGTCCTGGCAGCCTCCGATGTGCTTCACTGCGAAATGGCGTAAATTCGTAAAGGGGATCTGGTGACGAGATCCGGAGGGCCTGATTCAGTGATGCTCGGGGAGCTCAAGTTGTTGGACTGCGGATTAGCCTCCATGAATCGGGCAGGGGTGTTGTCCATAAATCATAGCTTCCCGTGCCCAGTGCCAGCGTGATGTCCGTCAGGTTTCCACAAAGGATGTCCTCTGAAGCTGGATTACTCCTCGCTGTGAGGCCTTCAGGGACTCATCCGCACTTTTAGATGATGCTGATTTTCTGTGAGATCCCTCTTATTCTCCCCTTCAGGTTCAGCCTTCTGTTCTCTCTACAGCAAACACAAGTTTGGATCTCACACAGAAATATTTATGGCTTGGAGTTTACCAAGTGCTGTATAAATAGTAAACGTTAGTGCAAACTGAGGTTTTCTGGCCCTCCCGGAGTTCCTGAGCAGCGGGACCAAATACCCACGTGCTGGTGGAACCGGAGATGCTACTTTTATCCTTTTCCTGTGGAGAAGTGCAGCTCTCCGTGGCTGCGAGGGGCCGGGGGGCTCGCGCGGTGCTGGCGGTGGGGCGTGCGGGGCCAGGGAGCCTGGTGCTGGGCAGCCCGAGCTGCAGGGCTGGGACGGACCCCGCGGAGGGGACGGGGCGCGTCGCGGCTCGCTCGCCCCTGCG